TAGCGGATATATTTATGAATAGTTGGAAAAACATGGCCTTACAAACGTTTAATCCTGCACCCAAGATATGGTGGCTGTATGTGGATGACACATTTACTGTGTTCAAATCGGAACATATCAACAATTTCCTCACACACATAAACTCATTAGTAGGAGCAATCCAGTTCACTTACGAGTAGGTAGGAAATGAACTTGGAGACTCACATATGTTGGACTACAGGATAAAACGAAGGACTGAGGATGGTCTCAATACTACCGTCTACAGAAAGCCAACACATTCTAACCGGTTTCTAGACATAAAGTCGTCCCAGTCAATGTCAGTTAAAGCACGTTTAGTCAAATATCTCAGCGATGGAGCTAGGACAGTGACTAGTCAGTTGAAGGACCTAAACAATGGACTGAAGCATATGAAAGAATCCCTAGTAATCGATAGTTATCCTCTACAGTTTATCAAAATATTCGTACGAACACACGAGAAACGAAAAGATAACAGTAACACAAGTACGAATAATAACGACAACGTGAGTAGAAAGGAGGTCACAGCCTCCATTGTGTTAGCATATAAAGAAGGAAGGTGAAAAGCATTACACAGAATCCTCAACAAGGCTGGAATTAGATTGGCATTTAAACCTACAAGCTCACTCACAGATAAGTTTCATCGGCTGGCTTAAGAACCCGATAGAACCAATTAGGCAAAGTAATCTGCTCTATCAAATTCCATGTAATGACTGTGGGGTCAAGTACATAGGTCAAACTGGGCGGTCAGGGTCAGTTAGATTAACGGAAAATAGGAATTTAGCTAAACATTGAAAGACAGATCCGAATAAGATCAATAGTCGAGAAAAGCACTCGGTTATTGCAATGGATGCATCAACACACAACCACACAATAGGTTGGGTGGCATAGAACTACTGTAATCAAGTCAAATATAATTAGGTGTAGAGAGAGAGAGTCAGACAGACAGACAGACAGAGAGAGAGAGACAGAGACAGAGACAGAGAGAGAGAGAGATTGATTACTGGATCTTTAGTAATGCAAAAATTCCCATTAAGACATTTAGTAAAACAAACAATGTGAGCGAAGAAATATTTCTTTTCAATTAGTTCCTCATCAATGGCTCTACACTAATATAGCATTTTCAAACGTAAAATTACATACCAATCTAGTGGTGAGAGTTGTTCAGTGAAAGGTTATCAATCTCAAAGTTTCAAGAAGGTGATAATTGGTCAGGTAATTAAGACAGTTAACTAAAGCAAAGATTAATTATCGTAGAAAGATTTTGCGAACAGGTTCTTACGTAATTGATATTTTATATAATGATAACTAAAGAGCAAAAATTAACTGTTACGTAAAATGGTAAATTGTTGACGGTAATTAGAGACAGTAGGGGGAGAGAAAGATGATTAAGTCTGTAATAATAATAATAATAATAATAATAATAATAATAATAATAATAATAATGGAGCTATTGAAATACTAGTTATAGTGAATTGTGTGGTGGATGAAATGAAGAGTCTTGTTGTAATAAATGAGCTATACAGATGGCCAAGGCAAAGAAAGAGGCTGTACGAATCTCTTCTGAACACACAGACTTGGCTTGTGTAGGTGGATTCCTATGGCTTCTGCTGTATGTAAAAGACGGACTCGTAGAGGATGGGTGAGGTCAGAAGGAATGTGATAAATAACTTTAAAGGCATTATGAATGTTAACTCGGTGGCCGGTGTCAATCAGATGACAGAGTATTGAGCTTCGTGTCAGTCTGGTTTCCCCCTTACTTAGCCATGAAGGATGATGCTCGGCGATTCGACGACGGACTTGCCTAATTGTACGTCCAATGTAACTAGCTCCACAGGAGCAGTTGAACTGGTAAATGCACATAGAAGAGGAGAAGTCAGGGAGTCTGTCTTTAGTTCGTGTGGTCATCATCGGCCGGCTGCAGAAAACACAACATAACTTGGCGGCATTAAATGATCTTCTTATGGCATTTCTTAAGCTTTGTGTCACAATTTCGCTAATGATGTCACATCGAAATTGTAGTCTTAGAAACAATGGTATCTTGGAGACTGTAGGCATTCTGGTTTTCATATTGGATGTGTTCATATTTTTAGCCAGGAACGTTTCTGGCTTAATTACCTGACCAATTATCACCTTCTTGAAACTTTGAGATTGATAACCTTTCACTGAACAACTCTCACCACTAGATTGGTATGTAATTTTACGTTTGAAAATGCTATATTAGTGTAGAGCCATTGATGAGGAACTAATTGAAAAGAAATATTTCTTCGCTCACGTTGTTTGTTTTACTGGATCTTTGTTCATCGAATCAACACCCATCATATGTAATACAAACGATAAAACACGTATACCAGAGATATGGAAAATTTTACTGCCAATAAAAAGTGAATATTAGGTGGGTGACAGGACTATAAAAGTTAGATGTCGAAGGGAGTGTGACTATATTGATGTGACTATGAGCACTAATGTATACTCGAACCGTCGTCATCCAGTAAACTATCACTGTGTGTTATAAATCGAATAAAAATAACCTAAAATGGAATTAAAGATGTCGGTTTTGAAGTCAGATACTAATGAGTTTTTCGTCAGTTTGGTAGATTTTTTATAACTAGGTGAATCTCACTCACGCTGATTCGCGTAGTACTTAAACAAGACCGTTTCTGTTGTTTATCCAAGCAGGATGAAAAAACTACAACAAAAGGCTGGAATTAGTGATTAGCATCTTTGATTTTAATGGGCACGATAGTGAATAAATATCGATTACAAAGTGGTAACTGAGTTCTGCTGGTAAACTTTCCACCCAGAACTTGACTTGGAGTATGCGGACGAAACTATTCTACCAGGTGAAGATGCTGACAAACTTCAGAGTATTCTGAAAGCGTTGACGAGAAATCTGAGTACGTTTCACATGCGTCTCGTTCGCATTTGTCAATTTTAAGACCATGCTCCACAACTAGTCTGCAACTATTCTTAGCTTAAGGATAGTCAGTGAAGTTTTTGAATGTATCCATCACTTCACTTACCTAAGAAGTTACATCAGCCGGAAGGGACTGGTTGGTAATGAGGTCTCAGCTAGGATACAGAAGACGAAAATGACACTGGCCAACTGACTTCATCTGTGGCGCCAACTAACGAGATAATCAACTCACCATTAGAACACGTGTATACTGCACTGCAGTTCGTTTCATCCTGTCATGCTGCTTTTGTTGTATGGATGTGAGATATGGTCGTTGAAAGTAGAAGGCATGAAATGGTTACAAGTATTCGATCACTAGTGTATTGGTAGAATTGTGGGTGGATGTTGGAATCACCATGTGAGCTGTGTTGATGACAGAGAGACGAAGTGTAGTGGACAAGGAAGACGTGTCAGTCGATGAGGCTGTGAACTTTCATTGACTGAGATGACTTAGACATATAATACAGATGTGGAGTCACCATCTACCTTGAGGTTCCATGTTGGGTAAGTTGTATAAGATTAGAGTATGGTTTCATCTGTTGAGACTGAGGTGTCCTAGGAGTGATTACTGGTTTGAACCGCGTTGGGAGATATAGACTGTCTTACAGGAGTCTGCGAGACAATAGGAATCAGTACTTGAGAACTGTCGGAGATATGACTGAAAATCGATCACAATGATGGAGATGAATTCCCTCGTTGACTTTCTTATTCTTCCTATACTACTGTGAATAGTGGCAACTTGAAGCGATTTACATGTATGAGACGTTCTGAGTTGGTTTTGTCTGTCTGTCTGTCTACCTGGAGCCTAACCTCATCTTCTATTGTATTCAGTGTCGAATCTGTGAAGATGATTTAACTATGGCAGAAGTGACCGATGACTTACTTAGCCTCTTGTTAACGTCTGTCAGGCAAGTGGTCAGTCACACAAGCTTACTTTTCTGAAACTGCAGGCTTAGGTGCTTTTCATTTACAATATTCTAATACTTACAGGATTCCCGTCAAGTAGATTAGTAAGCAGTCGACATATTTTGACTTCAGGTGTTGAACCAATCGATTTGTAGGTCAATATTGTTTGTATCAGTATATGAGAGTTAACACGCATAACCATATTAAAGAAATACTGCTTATACTCTTATGAAGGCTGGGATAATACCCTTTATATTCTAGTCTTGAAGGTAGCTCTATTCCTCGGAGTTAGAAATAGCAATAAGACAGTAGAAGGTGTATTTTAAGGTTAATTATGTACAAAAGTTGAAAAGTAAATACACATATGTATACTTATACAGTGGCTTCGGTTATTCCAGCTGTTTCTAGGAAGACGTTCTGTATCTTTTTCTGTGGCCCCAGCTAGTCTGATACTTACAAACATGACCATGAATCTTCTCTGCAGAATTCAAAACATGCTGATTCATTGTGGTAGAATTTCAGAATTCTCAGGGCTTGCTTAAACTGTACAAACAAGGATACTTTACACCATAACACAGTTAAATCCAAATGTTTCGAACCATTTCGAATCTATTAAACATTATGAGGGAGTTGTGGAGATTTGGAGATATTTCAAGTTGTTATTCATAGTAGACTGACATCACTTGGAGGAACAAACGAAACCTGAGAGCACTGCACAGCTGTTTCGTAACAACATCCGACTCCTCAGCAGTAAGCACCCACAACCCTGCCCTCACGGATAGAACCCGCAACCCTCAGGTTCCGTGATCAGCACGTTATCACTGACCCACTGTATCATGATCCAATAGTCCATATTTTCAACTTCTGTTGGCTCACGATATAGCGCAACCACCACCCAATCTCATTGTTGAATGACTGTCCTCACCACCATCAGGCTTTGACTCCACTGGTCACGACTTCTCATTGGAACTTTTGGAATACCTTTCGAAGCTAGTCACCAATGAGCACCAGTTCAATTGAATTTTTGAGGGGGTTGTGGAGATTTGGAAATATTTCAAGTTGTTATTCATCGTAGATCGATATCATTATTCAATCAGAAAAAAAATCTTTTTTTAAATTCCAGTTCTTCAGCTGATTACACTAAAACCATCTGTGAAACGAGAAAATCAAAAAGGCACATCTTTACTGCGACTGTTAATGGATCCATATATTCTTATTGCAACCGGTAAGTCTTGTTTTGTCAACTTTACTGTTAAACAACATAAATGATCCAGTGTGTGATTTCTTTACTGCATCAAAATAATCGTTAGTAGATTGCTGGCAAGCCTGTGAAGAATATACACCTGATATTTACGGCTAACCTCAATCAGTATGGATAGTGATTGAATGTGAAGTGAAAGTATGACTGTTGGGAGGATTCAAACTATCTACCTTCGGGTTTCCAGCCTGTTTCTCCACCACCCAAATGTTGACCAGATTTTAATTTCACTTCAGTCATCAAGGTGTATTTTTGCCCAACTGATGTATGAATCCATGGTGGATTCAAGTGAAATTAAAATGTCTTCTGCAGCTGGGGTTCATTAATCAGTTGATAGAACACCAGGTACTGGTTCGAATCCTGCCATGGCACAAATGTTTAAAAATGGTGCATTTGGTATTTATTTCATTCATATCTGAAATTCTTTTGTTGTACATATACATGATCATCTGATGACAAAAGTAAGGGTTTCCATCTCCAGATGAAGTTGTGATAGTTTGGTTTTGGGGAGATTACTTTCCACCAAAGAAGATTTGGATTTAGCCGATGGTAATTTATGTGTAATGTCGAACAAACACGAAGATCTACAGGCTAAAACTAACAAGCTAGCAGAAGATGCAAGGTAAGATGCAAGATGCAAGACGAGACTTCCTTCAGGTGAGCGTAGAAAAGACAGAAGTGATGGAGATACCCAACAACAACAACAAACACCAATCAACATGAACGGGAGTAGTCTGAAGGAAGTTGTGTCCTCCACCTCCAACTACAGGTGGCGCCGATGGCACTGATCAAAATGTCAAAGCCAGGATCGGAAAGACAGAGAAACAGACAGTCCTTCATTAATCTGAAGTAATCAGTGTGGAGATCTACTGCACTGCACTGCGCTGCATTCCAATCTAATCCACTCCACTCAGCATAAAGCGTGAACAAAATCCCCATTTTCAACACCAATGTCGGTCAAGTAAATCAATGCCTCTATGTGATGGTTGGGAGACTAGGCGCGTTATGAAAAGCATTTCCATCAAAATGCACACATACATTACATCAACAGCTGTCGCCAATACGCACTGGATACTGACACTGAAGATCAGATCAGATGGCCAGAACAGAATAATAAGAATAAGCAAGGAGGAACTCTGTTGGCCTGCCAACGAGCCAACCGGAGAAAAAGCCATCACCCAACAAATGTGCAGAAGAAGGTGGAGATGCATTGGATTGGGTTGAGTTGGTCATACACTGAGAAGAAAGACGGTTTCGGGACATCACGCTCCAGTCCAGACCAGGCCGTCGAGCGGCAGCCAAATGGGAAACGACAAGTTGGGTGTCTAAGCCGAGGGTGAGATTGAGGAGATTGTGTGAGGAAGAAATGAGGGGTTGTGGGCATTGGTGAATCCAGGTTGAAAAGGCTGAAGAGAACAAAGTGAAATGGTGACGTACTACTGAAGCCGTATGTTCCACTAGGAACCCAAGGGACAACTAATAATCACAATAATACTTTCCCTCAGTAGGTCATGGGTTTGAACACTGTATCTATCAAGATTTGGATAGAGGGGTAAAAGCATCATTGACACAAAGGCCCACTTGTATCGCTCATTATATAGAGATAATTAGCTGAAATGCTCACGGAAATTGACATTTAAGGAATAAATTGGAGATGACAAAGTCTTGCTTCCAGGAAGAATCATGGCATGCTTCAACTTATCTATTATAACTATTATTTATTGATATTTTTAATCCCTTTTTATTATACTCGGTCGAATTGTTCGACACCTCTGTTGGCATATAAGCTCCTATATGTATATCTCTATATTGCCTGATTATGTTGCAGTTTGCCTCATGAGGTACTAACAGTGGAATCTAGGATGCGTGTCTCGTCCTAATTAAGGCTTGTCAGCTGAATGTACCTGAACCATAGTGATTGGTGTCGTTTCGACTGGGACTGGAATCCAGGGACGATCACTTCAAAGGCCTAAGCGTTATCCACTAGGTCATTGGGACATGAAAGCCACCACCTATCCAACGGGTATGAGTTATTATGGTTATTATTTAGGACCCTATAGGAAAGCATATGGTAACAGATTTGATCAATTCGTTCCAAAATAATAGCGCAAAATTACAAATATCGATTAATAATAGTAATAACAGCTGATACTCTTGTTCCAGTGACCTAATGGGTAATGCTTTGATGTTTGAAGCGATGTGCACTGGATTCAGTTGTTAGTAGGAATAGTATCAGTCACTGGGGTGCAAGTAAATCCGCCTAAACAGTCCCAAATAGGATGGGATGCGCTTCCTAGATCCCACTATCATTTACCACCAAGCCAATTTGATCAGAAAAATAGTATTATGAACGAAGTCTCCTATAGTAGCTTAGACTATACTTTCTCATCTTCCTCAACTACTTGTTGGTAGCAATCACCGATGTCCAGCTAAATTGGAGGTCCTATGAAGAGATGGAATCTAGTTATGATGAACTGGCTTCTGTTAAGTGTATGAAATTCGTATACATACTGTCTATTTAGTACAAATAGTTTCATTCTATATGAAAGAAAAATACCTCCTCCTTCATAATTCACAAATGAATAATCTTACTTGATAGTTTTTTGAGGGTTAAATGTTTAGGTGAAGAGAGAAGCTTCTAACTTCAAGTTGGCTTTGTATAATGCAAAATTCTGGCTAACTCTTCATATTTGTTAGTCGAAATTTGTGGGTTTAAATATATTTCAGCAGTATTATTTTTCATTGTAACATGGATAGTCTTTACAGATTATGTTGAAATTTACTTGATGAGGGTTAACAGTAGAATCTAGGATGGGTGTTTCGTTCTATTTAGGACTCTTCAGCTGGATGTATCTGGATCTCAGTGACTGATGTTGTTCCCATTGAGACTTGAGACCAGTATTCATCGTTTCAAACGCCAAAACATTATCCACTACATTAGAAATGGTAATAAGTATGAATCTATCGGCTTTTAATTCCTGTGCTCTTCAAGTCGACAAAGAGTATGCTAACAATACACTATTAATTTATGAGTAAATTAATATAGAGCATGTAGCCTTTTGAGCAGGCTTACTACAAATCTAATAACCTTAAGTAGAAGCTAAGCATTGACTTAGATAGAGTTAAGTAGTATAAAACATTCGAGTCTTAGAGATTTATATACGTTTATGTGTCTGTTTATATATCACGCAGTGAAACAGTACCATTTACTGCATAACCACCTTTCGGATACAATTTATTGTCCATATTCATATCAAGTAACTCCACAACCTTCAAACCGACTTTATACAGTCCTCACTTTCTCTCCTTCTCTGTGACGACAAGGGTAGTAGAATTTTCCATATATCTGGAACAGGTGCAGCATCATTTCGATTGCATGAATTTGATACTGATTCGATAAACAAAGATTCGATTTTTGAAGGAGTTGTGGAGACTTGGAAATGCTTTAAGTTGTTAGTCATAGTAGACTGACATCAGTTGGAGGAACAAAGGAAACCTTGGAGCACTGAACGGTTGTTTCATCCTAGTATGGGACTCCTCGAAATATTTCCAAATCTCCACAACTCCCTAAAAAATTCAATTGAACTGGTGCTCATTGGTGACTAGCTTCGAGAAGTATTCCCGAAGTTCCAATGAGAAGTCGTGACCAGTGGAGTCAAAGCCTGATAGTCGTGAGGACAGTTACCCAACAATGAGATTGGGTGGTGGTTGCGCTATATCGTGAGCCAACAGAAGTTGAAAATATGGACTATTGGATCATGATACAGTGGGTCAGTGATAACGTGCTGATCACGGAACCTGAGGGTTGCGGGTTCTATCCGTGAGGGCAGGGTTGTGGGTGCTTACTGCTGAGGAGTCGGATGTTGTTACGAAACAGCTGTGCAGTGCTCTCAGGTTTCGTTTGTTCCTCCAAGTGATGTCAGTCTACTATGAATAACAACTTGAAAGATTCGATTATCGATCTCTCCCACCATCCTTACGCTGTCATTCTATCCCACCCTACTGTGTGATTGTGTGTCATCGCATGCGGAGCCATAGCCGAGCTTCTCTCCAAATTTCTTATCTGCTAATCTTGATTTAGCTAATTTCTGTTCTATGTTATTCTGATCGACCCTGGTTGATTGATTTGACCTTTGACCAGGGTCGATTAGAATAACAGAGAATAAAAACTTAGCTAGATCAAGATCAGTACATCCTAATAAGATAAGAAATCTAGAGAAAAGCTCTGCTATAGCCCTGCATGCGATGGCACACAATCACACAGTAGGGTGGGATAGGGTGACAGTGTTGAAAACTAACTTAATTGGGTGAAGGGAGAGATTGATAACCTAATCTTTGTTTATTGAATCAACACCAAACACATGCAATCGAAATGATTCTGCACCGTCCAAGATATAAGGAAAATTCTACTACCCTTGTCATCACAGAGAAGGAGAGAAAACTAGGAATATATAAAGACTGTTTCGAAGTTGTGAAGTTACCTGATATGAATACGGACAATAAATTATGTCTGAAAGGTGGTTATCCAGTAAATGGTACTGTTTCACTGTATGTTATTTCTAATAAACAGATTAAAATGGAATTACACTCGACCAAAGTGCCCAAGTTTTATACTTATACTAGTTACTTTCATCCCACCTTAGTACAATTCTAGAAGCTGTAACTTTATATGAAAGGAGTACTCATATGATGAAGTTAATTTCTTTTCAATTGCTATTTCATACAGTAGGCAATTCCTTTTTCAGTATGTGTAATATTCTGTCTGTAAATACCATGAATTATTATTCCTAAAATCGTTTTATTGTTTTGATTTGGTGTATTTAAATTTATAAATCAAGGTGCAATAACATTTGGAAACTTGGGTATGGCTATTCTTGAGCCAACATTACCATTATGGATGAAAATCAAAATGAACTCTGAAGAATGGGAACAAGGAGTTTCATTTCTATCTGGAAGTGTATCTTATCTAATCGGTACAAATATATTTGGACCAATTTCACATAGAATTGGACGTGGTAACAGTGCAGGCATAGGATTATTAATTTGTTGCTTTAGTCTAATCGGTGTAAGTTTTTAAAGTTTTTGTTTACTCATAATCTTTTATATGTGTTAAACTTTTTGATATCTCACTGATAATAGTTGAAGGTGTTTTGAAATAAACTCATTCTATGAAGAGGTGAGTATGTCAGATTTTGAGGGAGTTATGGGGATTTGGAAATATTTCAAGTTGTTATTCATAGTAGACTGACGTCACTTGGAGGAACAAACGAAACCTGAGAGCACTGCATAGCTGTTTTGTACCAACATCCGACTCCTCAGCAGTACGCACCCACGACCCTGCCCTCCACAGATAGAACCCCTGACCTTCAGATTTCGTGGTCAGCACGTTACCACTGACCCACTGTGTCGTGATCCATCGGTCCATATTTCCAACTTCTGTTAGCTCATGATATAGCGCAAACCGCCACCCAATCTCATTGTTGAGTGACTGTCCTCACCACCACCAGGCTTTGCCCCCACTGGTAACGACTTCTCATAGGACCATCGGATTCTGACCCAGTGTCCCGGTGGTAACGTGCTGGCACGGAAACCGAAGGTCACGGGTTCGATACCTGGAAGGCAAGGTCGTAGGTGTGTCAGATTTCCTGATTGATTTGTCATAGATATACTAATAAACTTCATAGGGATTAATCTACTCTCTGAAGGTCATCTGGTTAACTTGGAGAATGCTGATGACAGTCTCTTGCTAGGTGAAGACGCTGATTAAATATAAGGTTTCTTGAACACCTTGAACAGAAATCTGAGTAGGTCGAGTATACGTTTCACACCTGTTAAGTGCAAGATGATGCTCCAGGACTGATTTATCTGCAGCTACTTGGAGTTTATTGATAGGGAATGAAGTGGTGGAATGTATCAACCACTTCACTTGCTTGGGGAATTACATCAAGTTGAACAGACTAGTTGTTGCAGAAATCTCAGCTCCGATACAAAAAGCGAACCTGGCAAATACCAACGTGTATCATCCGTGGCGCCAACTGGCAAGATATCCAACTGCCTATCAAGGGACGAGTATACTGCACCACAGTTCTTTTTGTCCAGTTATTCTGCTACTGTTATACGGTCGTGAGATATGTCCATTGAAGCAGCTACAGGTTTTCGACCAGAAGTATCTTCATAGAATTGCTCGTGGATTGTGAACCCAAACTGCACCTATGTGTTCAAAAGAAATATGTACATCCACATTATTTATCTTAGGCCACAACATGGTCGACATGTTCTTTATGAACTTTGCTATCACAAATTGCACATTTTAACCTCCCACCCCTTTCTTGTATATTATCATTACATTGATAAACATTTATCAGTTTTACGCCCTTGTTTATTCATATCACTAATGATAGTCATTTTTAGCCGTGTCGGGTAACACTTCACATTTGTTATTCTCTATTTCACTATAGTATTCATGTGATTTTAATCTCTTCGACAAAACAATAAGACGTAAATTGTCTGAACCGTGTAATGTATTTGCGCAACACCTTTCAAACTATCTGATCACATACGTACTTATCATAGGTATTTATATAAAAATTCATGAGAACAAAGGGTGAATATAGCTCATCACTACATAATTATTATTTGGTAACATTGGGTGGTGGTTGCGCTATATCGTGAGCCAACAGAAGTTGGAAATATGGACTGATGGATCACGACACAGTGGGTCAGTGGTAACGTGCTGACCACGGAATCTGAAGGTTGCGTGTTCTATCCGTGGAGGGTGGGGTTGTGGGTGCTTACTGCTGAGGAGTCGGATGTTGGTACGAAACAGCTGTGCAGTGCTCTCAGGTTTCGTTTGTTCCTCCAAGTGATGTCAGTCTAGGATGAATAACAACTTGAAATATTATGTGACCCTTAGTAAACGAACACACATATACACACACATTCACGTTCCAATAAACGTATATAAATGAATCATTATCTGTAGATTTCGTCTCCTCCTCATTTCGTAATTGTTCTGTCGGTGGTGATTTCACTGCACAATTAACATATTAGACTGATAACAGTTCCATCACACCATTCTATTCGATTAGATTTCCATTCACTCATCATAACACTGATTATTTCAAAACAGTAAAAGTGTACATTATGCCTTATTTCAGCTATTGTATTTCACTTATTCTCATGAATTAATAACCGTAGAGGCTGCAGTAGAAATTATTAGAAACAACTGTTTATTCAAATTATTCTTGTTCTGAATGAGAACCTTTTAATTTCAAAGTAGTTTTCATCACGTTTAAGCATAAAATGGAGAAGTATTGAAAACCTGAACTCATCGGGCTCTTTAGCCAATAACTGAATGACAAGATCCTCACCATGGAATCCATTACTCTAGGCTTGATCTCTTGTAGAGTTGTGGATATACACTGTTGTATAAACCGAAAGTAGGAGTAAACAGAAATTCACTTTTTATAGGTTCTAGCTGATTCTTCAACAGACATTAATGCTTAGTGAAAGTCACTTTGGGAAACAAATGACTATCGTTTCATTTTGACCTAATCAAAAGTTGACAATCATTTTTCTTGTATTCACCGCTTTTATTTACTTGAAAGTTTTATGACTATTTAAATTTATTTCTCTTTTCTTTTCTCTGGAAAACACAACAGCTACCATTTTCAACAAAAGTAGAACATTTAATAGCTCCTATGTTTGGTCTTGGATTCGCTATTGGTAAGTTACAATTCATAATTTCTCACATATATAAGTTGAATAAACTTGATCAGTTTAAGTACTTTTGTTGATCTGAACTACTTCTTTCAATTTCATAAATGACAATACTATTTGTACTTTATGTAACGACTGAAATGATTGTCGTAGACTCACCATTCTGTTTACTCATGTTACTTTTATATCTACGCTTCTCAGTGAATATCTTCACTTTGATTTAAAAGCTTGACGATCAGTCAGTGCATTTAAGGTTTGTAGATCACTTTAATCAGTTCAAACTAAATAACTATTTTAATTTGGTTGGTTGTGGCCAGCAGAAGAATCCAGGACTCGCGTTTCGTCCTATTAGGGACTCGTCAGCTGAATGTACTTGCACCCCAGTGAGTGATGTTGTTCCCACTTATACTCCAACCTCATACCCTTCACTTGAAATGCCAAGATATTACCCATTGAGGTGAATTCATGTTAACAATTTTTCCCATTAATACTACTCTCATTATTTTATTTGTGGTTTCACATATTAACCATCGGTTATGATGACATATCCACTCCATTTTCGCCTCTATGGTAAATTCATATCATCATTCTTTGTACTAATCACTCACTCACTCAACACAATGTGTGATCCCATCTGGGTTCCACTCGAGGGCCTGGAGCGTGATGTCCCCAGTTGGTCTTGTCAGTGTGTACCCAATTCATCTCCACTTTCTTCTGCATATCTGTTGGGCGATAGGTTCTTGGTTGGTTCGTTGCCAGCCAGCCAGAGTCCCTTGTTGCTTATGCTCATTATTCTGGTCATCTGAGCTTCAGTAACGAGTCAGCGTAGGTAGTTGTTGATGAATATCTGTAGTTTGTTGGAAATGCTTTTCGTGACACACCAAGTCTCTGAACCATATAGAAGCACTGCCTTGACGTTGGTGTTGAAAATCCGCATCTTGTTCCACATGCTGAGTGCAGATCTCCATACTGGTTTCAGGTTAATGAACACCTGTCTTTCTGATCTTGGCTGGCTTTGACGTCCTCGTCTGTGCCTGTGTCACCTGTAGTTGAAACAGTGCTACCTAGATAGGTGAAAGGGACAACTTCCATAAGTTTCTTCTATTGATGCTGATTGGAGTTTGTTGATGTTGGTGGTGGTGATGGCGTTGGATGGGTGGGTATCTTTATCACCTCTGTCTTCTCTACGTTCACTTGAAGTCCCGTCTGGTTTCATATATTAACCATCTATAATGATGACATATCCAGTCCATTTCTACCCTCATAGAAAACTCGTGTCATCAATCTTTGTACTAATCACTCACTCACTCACTCACTCGACGCAATATGTAACCTTGATCATTATTAATAGTTTTCCTTCCCCATACACATGTCTGATCACCAATCTACTGAAAACGTTTACACTCAACTTATCACCACAGTTGGCATACACGTATCCCCGATAGTCATATGATAATCAATATGATGCTCCTTCTCTCTGATTCAGTTGAATGAGAAGTCTTTAAATAGATAACCAGTGTGAATATGATCAAGCGGTAGTAACACATCAAGAAATCATATAGTAGTCAGGCAAAAACCTTCAAGATTGAAGTGAAATAAAAATTTGGTCAGTAGTCCATAGAACATGGGGTCGGAAACGGCGATGGTCACTGGTTCATATCTGGCTACGGTCGAAATTTTCGTCTCATCTTCATTCATCGCCCAGTATAAATACATGCATAACTTGAACACTACTATCCACAATCTTAAAGAGTTAAATCTTGATTATAATTCAATAATCATCTCTAAATACATTCGTCGTAATTTCTGGCCATTAAATATTCAACAAAATGAATAGTCATTTAAATTTTGAGGGGGTTGTGGAGATTTGGAAATATTTCAAGCACTGGTCCAGTGCTCCCAGGTTTCCTTTGTTCCTCCAACTGATGTCAGTCTACGATGAATAACAACTTGAAATATTTCCAAATCTCCACAACACCTCAAAATTTAACTAAACTGGTGCTTATTGGTGACTAGCTTCGAGAAGTATTCCCGAAGTTCCAATGACAAGTCGTGACCTGTGGAGTCAAAGCCTGATGGTCGTGAGGACAAATACTCAACGATGACATTGGGTGGCGGTTTGCGCTATATCGTGAGCTAACAGAAGTTGGAAATATGAAGCATTGGACTCTGACCCAGTGGCTCAATGGTAACGCGCTGGTCGCGGAACCTGAAGGTTGCCGGTTCGATCCCTACTGGTGGGGTTGTGGGTGCGCACTGCTGAGGAGTTCCATACTAGGACGAAACAGCTGTCCAGTGCTCCCAGGTTTCCTTTATTCCTCCAACTAAAGTCAGTCTTCGATGAATAACAACTTGGAATAGTTATTTATTACTATTTATTGACATACTTGTTATTCTCTGTTGTCTTGTTGGATCGAATTCTTCGACCTCTATTGGTATATACGAGCTCGTATACGGATGCCTCAATATTGCCTGAATGTTAATTATGATAACACGCATCCTGGATTGTTCTGTTAGCCACAACAAACTAAATTATCATAATTAACATTCAGGCAATATTGAGGCATCCGCATAGGAGCCCATATGCCGATACAGGTGGAACAATTCGGTCCAATCTACGACGGTGTAATACAAGCAATAACACTAATAATAATAACAATAATAATAGTCTCGTTTATTTTAAAAAGAAAGAAAAGAGGAGAGCGGAGACGAAAAAGAAAGAAACAAAAGGGTTGAGGGAATACCGTTTAGTCAATGGAAGGCCATGGGAGGAGTAGAGCTTGGATGTATTCTTTTTGAATACAGAGTTAAGGCTTTGTTAATCTTATCGCGTAAACGAATGGCACATGGTAGAGTCTTCGGAAAATGGTGTATCACCGTGAAAGCTGTGCCAGCATCTAGTTGGTGTCCTGTGTCTGTTAGATGCGCTAGTATAGAACTTCTAAGGAATTTGATCTCACCCTTTGCAAACCCTACCGGTAGATGTTCTCTTATCCTGAGATGGATGTGTCTAACAGTGTGCTTTATATAACTTGTTCCGCAGGAACAGATAGATTGGTAAATGGATGATGATGAACTGAAATCAGGTAAAGCTTCGTTAAGTCTTAGGTTTAAAAGTGGTTTACTATTAAAGAATAGGCATACACGTCTTGAATAAGACGTTCTACTGATTGCTGTTGATAGAGGGTGTGATAAAGTTTCACTCTGGGTGTCTCCTTTAAATTGCAGATGCAGAAATGCTTTTTCTGCACTGCTGTCGACTCGTTTTTTTTAATACTACAAGCAATTTGTTATAACTTTGTCTGGTTGTAATATTGGTCTTGGTAACTAGTAGAGAAATTCGGGACTCGCGTTTCGTCCTGTTTGCGACTCGCCAGCTGGATGCACCTGTACGCCAGTGACTGGTATTCTTCCCACTTAAGCTGGAACCCGGTACCCATCGCTTCAAACGCCAAACCGTTATCCAATAAGCCACCAGGGAAAGAAAGCCACTTCGTAGGCAAGGGACATCAGTTGTTGTTTCGATACTTATAATTTCCCGTTTTTATATAGGGCCGAACCTCTTGACCTCTGGCGTTGACAGTTGAGTTCCTATTTTACGACACAGTTGTTCAGTTTCTTCTGTTGTTATATGATATAAGTCGATTGGCAGGAAAATCGATGCGTAAATTTAGTGGGCATGACTACTTGTCGATACGTCGTATGTGTAACCATGCGTAAACTGATGTTAACTTAACGATTCCAACTTTCACCACTCATAGACCACTTCACCTACTTAGAGAATTACATCAGCTCTAATAGACTAGTTGTTGATGAAATCTCAGCTCGGATATAGAAGACGAAAATGACACTGGCCAACTGACGTCATCTGTGGCGCCAACTAACGAGATAATCAACTCACCATTAGAACACGTGTATACTGCACTGCAGTTCGTTTCATCCTGTCATGCTGCTTTTGTTGTATGGATGTGAGATATGGTCGTTGAAAGTAGAAGGCATGAAATGGTTACAAGTATTCGATCACTAGTGTATTGGTAGAATTGTGGGTGGATGTTGGAATCACCATGTGAGCTGTGTTGATGACAGAGAGACGAAGTGTAGTGGACAAGGAAGATGTGTCAGTCGAGGAGGCTGTGAACTTTCATTGACTGAGATGACTTAGACATATAATACAGATGTGGAGTCACCATCTACCTTGAGGTTCCATGTTGGGTAAGTTGTATAAGATTAGAGTATGGTTTCATCTGTTGAGACTGAGGTGTCGTAGAAGTGATTGAATTGTCTGACTATTGGTTTGAGTCGTGTAAGGCAAGAGGTGTAGATTAATTACCCTTTCGGACTCCCTGAGATGATAGGAATCAGGGACTGATGACTGATGGTGGAGTGGCTGAAAATCAGTCACAATGATGGAGATGAATTTACACATTGATGTCTTCTAAAGCCTGAATGTTTTGAATAACCTTCATTTTCAAATTCCTCCTCGCATCCACCTTTGTATACTCTGATACTAATTTTTTTTCCCATGAACTTTTCTTGCTTATACTATTGTGAAGTGATGCACTTACGTAAGAGTTTTTAGGTTGTTTTTATTTCAGTCTGTCACACTCTGCTGATATATGAGAAATTGACATGAAGTTATGGAGGTTTGAAAAACTCCTTTGCATTCCTTGGTTAATTACACGTATTTGCTATATTGATCCATTACCCAACATTTCCTGCCGATTTATTCACAGCATCTTACTCCCAAACACCTATATGCTAGTGAAAACGGACACCCATTGAATGATCACTGGAGAGCAACTAATTTAATCTTTTCTAGTCATAGGCGCTTACCGAATCCTACTGACCATTTTACAGTGTGATTATCAAGCTAAGATGGTGACCATTTCAACGTACTTCGATAGATGTTGGCGGGTTGGAGGTGATCAGCAAGAAGCCTAGCTTTACCTATGATTCGTACAAGTTGTCGATCGTTAGTAAAGCATGCTTGTAACCTTGGAGATTGGAACCTTGATCACCTAGTGCTATAGTCAGTGACGTTATTACTGAGCTGTATGGGTTGTGATTTATCTCCTGAGGGTCACTTGGAGAGAAATACGTCTCTAAGTAAAGTTTCCGGTTCATGATTTCTTAAAATATCATCTATTTCCTTTTGTCGTTATTTAATGTGTAACATCCAACATAATATTCCCACTTAATTAGATACCTTTCAATGGTATCCGGTTAGAACTGTAATACTCCATGTATTGTTTTAAGTTGGGAAAAATTGCATTATGGATTTCTAATCACATGTGTTGAACATTTGATTCCTTGAAAGCGGTGACTATCAACATCACTTGTTTATTTCCACTCACTTTTCTCCTTCTGAACTTTCATTCAGAGAGTGTAGATCCCCATACAACAGTTTAGTGATATGGTAAGATTTAGAATATTAAAAACAGCGAACATTAGGCGCTATAATTATTTACAACTGAATTAAACAACTCCTTCTTTCAATATCCCAACAGAAATATTGACATAGTTCCATAGACTTAATGACAACTTCTAAAATCAATAACGGGGGTTCATATCAAATATTATACCACACACATTGTACAAAGTGTGGTTACCCTGATTCACTAGCTTACTAAAGATGGTGGGTACTGGATCCGAATCTCGGTAGCAACAAAACCCATCACTGAAGTGCAGGTTCATTCAGCTGACGAGTCCTAAGTAGGACGAAGTAAGCATTTTGAATTACACCGCTAACTACCAAAATGAACATTTCAAACAAGTGACTATTTTTCTTGAAAAAATTACTTAATTTTCCGATTCGAAAGTAGTAAGACATCACGTAAGTTGAAGTTCATTATATGTATCTTGGTTGTATTGTGATCTCTGAGCTACGTTGTTTCATCGTGAAGCTCCCATCGTCCTTCCAGACAACATCATCAGCACTAACTTCACTATGAAGTGACCTGTCAGTATCTGTCCATCAGTGATTTAGTGGCTTGCTCTGACGATGTGGTTTGTCATTGGTTGTTTCCTTCGATTGTAATGTGATTGATTGTATAGCCTTTCCTGTTGACTGTTCTTCTGCTTGATCTTTGACTGACCTTTCTGTCGTTTATCATTTTTCTTACTGGTTCATAGATCAGGTGTATGTTTATACATCTGTTGATTGCTGACTGACCTAAATGCCAGTCAGTAGGACAAATGCTAGAAAACTAGGAACCCAAGTGTACAGGAAGTCAGCACACACCGATAAAATACTCAACTACAGTAACAACAACACACAAGATCAGTTGCGTGCAGACTCTCTATTCAAAAGAGCGATAACACACTACAGCACAACAACTTCATGGAGAAAAGAAGAAAACTACATGATGTCCACCCTTAAGAAGAACGGCTACCCTCGAAACATTATCATAAGATGCCTATCCCGCACATCATCAACCACAAACTCATCAACAGAAATCAATAAACACATCATCCTACATCAGTCAGTACATAAGGAATATATCAGAAATCACAACAAGATTACTGAGACCACTTGACGGAATTCGTGTGGCCACTCATAAACCAACAAATTCCCTCCATGCACAATTATGCACACCAAAGGATGCAACAATCAAAGAAGACAAACCGAATATCATTTATGAGATCGACTGTAATAACTGTAGTCAACACTATATTGGACAAAGTGACCACCCTCTTCACCATCATCCACATGAACACCGATTGGCTATTAAACGCCACGACATATTGCCACTCATTTCAATCCATGTGGATAGCAACTATGAACATGAATTGAATTTTGACAATGTGGAAATTTTGGATGGAAAGAGGAAACACAAAGAGTATGATGAGAGAATTCGTAGAAGTTTAGCATTCACATGAGGCAGTCAGTCAGTGAATCAACAATCAATAGAGAGATGGGAAGACATAGACCGAATCTATCAAGCAAAGACAAAAATGATAAACGTAGAAAGGTTAGTCAGAGGTGAAGAGAAGAACAGTCAACAGGAAAGGCTATACAATCAATCACATTACAATCGAAGGAAGCAACCAATGACAAACCACATCGTCAGAGCAAGCCACTAAATCACTGATGGACAGATACTGACAGGTCACTTCATAGTGAAGTTAGTGCTGATGATGTTGTCTGGAAGGACGATGGGAGCTTCACGATGAAACAACGTAGCTCAGAGATCACAATACAACCAGGATATATATATATATATATATATATATATATATATATATATATATATATATATATATATATATATATATAACTTATACAAATGTGTAAATCACTATGTATAACAGTCTTTTTAGTTTTAAACCAAGGTTATCTGAATTTACCACCACTTTCGGTGACGACTATAATAACAATAATGAAAAATTTAATCCTCACATGTTTTGACTACAGTCTGATCAAAGATGAATTCCCTTCATTCTACTTTCGTATATATAAGAAAAACTCAGTAATGTAATGTGAACGACCGTGACAGCATGAAGATTAGCACTGGTGAGACATTTGACTGCTTATAAAGAGGCTGAGCATACTTAACACTAGTTCGCCATATATCCTGTTGTACACCTGAGCATGGCTTGCAGGTAATTTACTTCAAACTAGATTACCTCAATGTAGGTGTTCCACGGTAGTCAGTCTCAGCCTGGAAAGTCTCTTTTGACACTGAACCCTGTAGCTGTTATGAAATTAACGATTCCACCTTTTAAGTAGTTTTTAAAAGACTTTCTCAGACTTAAGGATGAATATCTCAGTCCCTAGAATATCAATTTATCCAGTGTGTTATTGAAGGTGAGTTTTTCTTTTTAAGAACCAGTGCTATTTTGTTGCCCAAAAATTTATAAAATATGCTTCGTTATTAAAATTTGTTTTCTCACACTTACTCAAGGTATGATTGACTCATCAATGATGCCAATTATGGGGTACTTGGTCGATTTACGACATGTTGCAATTTATGGTAGTGTTTATGCAATTGCTGATGTTGCGTTCTGCGTGGGATTCGCAGCTGGTATGTGTACTGTTTACTACTAATTATTTTTAATGCATTTTCGAGATGAACGGGGATTTTTAATTTAGAGATGGTGTTCATCACGGACTGACATCAGTTGAGGAACCAGATGGATATCATGAAGTTCTAACTAGAAGCCGTGACCTGTGGGGTCAACCAGTCGGAAGTGAAGTGGATGCTAACTGAGGACCTTGGGTGACAGTCGCGCTTTGTCGTGAATTGACAGAAGTTGGAAATTGTGAACCACTGAAAACCGACCCAGTAGCTGGATGGTTGGCGCGTTCGTCATAAAACCTGAAGGTCCCGAGTTCGATCCATAGCCAGGTCGTGAGTGCGTACTGCTGAGGAGTTCAAAACAGCTTTTTAGTGCTCCCAGACTTTCAGTGTTTCCCCAACTAGGGTTAGTCCACGATGAATGTAGCCTCTAAATTATTTTTAAATTTTTATTGGAATCGCACTCATGCAATAACAAGGTTACTTTTTTATTTAGACCCCTAGTCTGATTGGTCTATCAGTGAATGACCTTTTGTCTTAACTTTTGACCAATAGCATTTATTAACTTGCTTGTCCTTTAGCAATATGGCTGACTGATCGATAAAGGTTTAAGTGCTATTCGTTAATTTTACGCCACAGCAAAAACCATATACGTTTTAAGTAACATTACAGGAGTAATTAAAATGAGGTTAGAAGAGCACTCATCAGCTCATAATGGCTCTTAAAATTCTTATTCATATACAGATGATTTAATCAACAAGAATTTAGTGAAACCAGTGGTGAACTTGGTTCATTATATCAAAGTTTATTCTTTTATTATTGACGCGAAATTCTACCAATGCTTGTCTGTCATTTAGTCGCACAAGAGGTTAGCCGTGACCAAGATAGCTTAGTGGTTTAGATCCCAGGTGGAACATCGGTTTCCTTGAGGTCTCAGATACGCCTTACTGACAAGTAACAACATGTATGAAATCCAGTGGGGCAGGGCTTCCTGCCGATTGCCTCAATCCAACTAACACCTTGCAGTCTTTTAGTTAAGATGTACAAATCTTAGGTCTAAAGATCGCCCACTGGCATTTAGTCAGTTGCAATACGAATTTCTTCAGCTTAATAATATGATCGCACCTCTTCACTTCAAAACGCATGGAATAACTTATCTTTCTGTAAAACATTGATGATCGGACTGATGTCATTTGAAAGGTGAAGGATATGATTTCATATAAAGGCTTTAAAAATCTCTTTTATTACATATTCTTATGCGGTGAGGAAAAAACCCACTTTGTTTACGCCATAGTTCACCAGTCATGCTTATTGCTTAAGTCATAGTTTTTTAAAGCCGTACAAAATATACTACTTACTATCATATGAGTAGTTGCTTACTATTCGAGACAATCAGCAGTGTTCATTAAGCAAATTGAGTTAATCTAAGTATCAGAATCTATTCAATCTACAGATTTGGATCGTTTAAAGCATCTAAAAACTAGCTACCTACTTCAGTGAGATTCATTTTATGACTTCCACAATCTATAGTGAGAATTAGAAGATTTAGTGTGACTTAATTGTGAAATTTCACAGTGATTTCTTTTGAAAACGGAAGCATTAAACGTATGATATAAGCATTATGAGTCAGTCTACGATGATAACCAAATTGAAATATCTCCACAAACTCCTCAAAACTCAATTGAACTGGTACTCATTGGTGACTAGCTTCGAGAGGTGATTCTCGAAGTCCCAGTGAGAAGTTGCGAACAGTGGGACAAACACTCACCGATGATATTAGGTGGCGATCGCGCTATGTCATGAAGTGACAGAAGTTGGTAATATAGACCATTGGATCACGACACAGTGGCTCAGTGGTAAAGTCCTAACCACGGAACCTGCAGGTAGCGGGTTCGATCCCTGGAAGGCGGGGTAATGGGTGCACACTTCTGAAGAGTCCCATACTGGGTCGAAACAGCTGTCCAGTGCTCTCAGGTTTTCATTGTTCCTCCAACTGATGTCAGTCTGCGATGAATACCAACTTGAAATATCTCTAAATCCCCACAAACCCCTCAAACCTTCGTATCGGTCAGTAGAATATTTCCTAGAGCTTTCTTACTCACATCATTCATGGTTTCGACTAGATCAAGTAGAATGATATGTTTAGTCTCGACATACCTGATTTCTTAGTCATTTACCTGATAGATAGACAACTGTGGTTGCTTGTCACAAAGATGACCTGTCACATGATATGATGTTATGTTAACCATTAAAAACCTGGGGACACGGAACTTTTGTTTCGTTCTAGCGCGGAGTTCTTCAGTAGTCAGCAACCACCATCCCACCGGGGATCGAACACAGAACGTTTAGGTCTTACAAGTCACTGTCATCGTTTGGCTGAAAGTTCTGTCTATTAGGCGATCAATACTTATGGCATTTCACTGATAGAATAAACAAATGTTTCGATAATTATTTTTTGGAAGCAGTATAGTAGTAGCGTCCTATAATAACTGTATTTGTTGGTTTTCTCTAGGTCCCTTGCTTGGTACCGTATTGCAAAGAGCTTTGGGTTTCAAATGGTGAGTGAAATTATTGGACTGTTAGTTGTTCAACTTTTATAGATATGCTGTAAAGGTCTCCCTCTCCTCGTCTAACTTTATAGGGATGCTCCCAACCATCCTAGATTGTTTAACAGAACTAGAGTAGGCAGGTGAGACATTTAAATTAGGCAGAGATGCTGATAAAATGCAGAGCTATATATACATCTTTAGTAGCCATTTGAGAATGCCTGAGATACACGCATCACCTCTTGAATGCATAATTTTTGCTTCAGGATCGGTCTGCTTTGATGTCTCGTCAAACAATCGATAGCAAAGTGGTTGAACTCTTCACTTCATTTTATTAGGAAGTCAGATTAGCCATATTAGGTCAGTAACTGACAAAATCTCCCAATAGATACCGTTCACTTAGCTGTCCCCACCCTATGTCATTTATGACGTCACCTCGACGTCCAAATGCTTAGTAAGGATCGAATGTACTGAGCTGTAGCTTGCTCTGTCCTACTACATGGCTGTGCAAAATGACTACTAAAGGGAGAGGACATGAGAAGACTTCGTATAGTCGACGATATGCGTCACTTAATGAGGTTGTAGAATTTGACCTATCCAGGTATCTGAGATTTATGTTACATAGGCCTAGTCACCATATATCCTTAAATACTATGATAATCTTAGTAAATTTACGTTGAAAAAAAAGTCAAATAACTTAAAAATTGACATCATATGATGTAATCTTTGGCTGTTACACCCAGCCAAGCTAGCGAATGTAGGCTTCTCAGTTAGGTTCCGTGCGAAAACCAAAACCACTGGTTGAAGATGTGACTCACAATCAGTCTAAGTGGGTGCACAGATACAGCTACACATTATCTTAAAACAAAACCACTATATTATACTTCGTTATTTACGACCTGAAGCGTCTGACTTGCTTACGTCATTTGAATTGTTGCAAATCGGCAGTTATCGGTTACATGTGTGGACATATTGAATATATTACAACCATTTACTTAGCCCAAATCAATATGTTCTAGAAAACACGGTTTCTGAAAGTGACAAGTCAACAACAGCAGATAACTAACATTCTTGTATGCGATTCCATATTAGATTTGTTTATTTGATATAAAGCGCATAGTGATACAGTATTATTTAGTTGATTATGTTTCGAGCATAAATTATTACTGCTCATAATCATATCAATGTAATCACACCGCTTTCGATATCTGATTTTATAGTCCTGTCACCTGATCTCTCCTTGTTTTTTGATTGGTAGTAAAGTTTTCCATATCTCTGGTATAGATGTTGTGTCATTCCTATTGCACATGTGTTGGGTGTGGATTCGATGAACAGAGATTCAGTAATTAATTTCTCTCTCCACCTAACTATATTAGACTTAAGTACAGTGGTTTTGTGTTAATGAATGCAATGCAATGGCAGAGTGTTTTTCTAGATTATTGATCTTATTGGGGTCTGCCGTTCTATGTTTAGCTAAATTCCTATGTTCTGTTAATCTAACTGACCCCGACCGGCTAGTTTGACCTATGTATTGGACTTCACAGTCATTATATGGAATTCGGTAGATTATATTATTTTGCTTAATTGGTTCTATCGGATCTTTTAGCCGACAAAGCTTACCTCTAAGTGAGTTTGTTGGTTTAAATGCCACCCTAATTCCAACCTTGTTGAGAATCCTACGTATGCTTTCTGATGTTCCTTCCTTGTATGGTATCACAATAGAGGTGTTGATTTCTTTTCTACTTATGTTGTCGCTATTATTTGTGTTTGTATTACTGTGGTAGAATGTAATTCCATATCTCTGGTACAGGTGTTGCGTCATTCCTATTCCACATGTGTTGGGTGTGGATTCGATGAACAAAGATTCAGTAATTAATTAATTATTTGTCATTATTATTACTAAGTAATTAATTACTGAATCTTTGTTCATCGAATCCACACACAACACATGTAATAGGAATGATGCAACACCTATACCAGAGATATGGAAAACTTTACTACCAATCAAAAAACAAGGAGAGATCAGGTGACAGGACTATAAAATCAGATATCGAAAGCGGTGTGATTACATTGATATGATTATGAGCAGTAATAATCTGTGCTCGAAACGTAATCAAGTAAATAATACTGCATCACTGTGCGCTTTATATCAAATAAACAAATCTAATATGGAATTACATTCTACCACAGTGCCCAAGTTTTTTACTTATATTCTTGTATGCAGTTGTGAAACGATCTGGAAGCTTGTCTCCAATATTATACTAGAATACTTGATACAATACGGCATAGAATAGGAGGATTTAAGGATGAAAATATTTTAAAACTTTTCACTTAGCTTAATGACTATACTATATATCTAGTTGATAGATGCCTAACAAGGGCTTGGAACTGGACAACGATATTCACCACTCTCCGGTAGACAACCTACGCAGGATTAATTGTTATCTAAATAGGTAAACCAGTAGCAGTTGATAACGGTTTTAATCTCAAAAGGGAAAATCAATTTTCATTTTTCCGGTGAATTCAAAAAACCGAAAAACCCCCGTTCGGCTTCGGTTAGATTAACGGAACATAGAAATTTAGTTAAATATAGAATGACAGATTCCAATAAGATTAGTAATCTCGAAAAACACTCGGTTATTCTAATACATACACTAAGACACAACCACCGTACTTAAGTCCAATATAATTAGGTGGAAAGAGAGACTTCTGATTACTGAATCTCTGTTCATCGAATCATCCAACACCCAAAACGTGTCATAGAAACGACGCAACATCTATACCAGAGATATGGAAAACTTTACCAATAAAAAAGAATATTCAGTGGGTGACATAACTATGAAAATCAAATGTTGAAAGTAGTGTGATTACATTGATATGAATATGAGCAATGATGATTGATGCTGGAAACGTCGTCATCCAGTAAATGCCACTATAACACTCACTGTGTGTTATAAATCAAATGAACAAATCTCATATTGAATTAAATTCTACCACAGTGCTTAAGTTTTACATCTATATTAATTAAGAAATCACTTTACCAGCCAATTTAAGATGACACAACGGAGTCTGTGAACTCCTTTCCTTTCTACTTGTGTTGTCGTTATTATTCGCACTTGTGTTACTCTTATTATTTCGATTGTAATACGTTCATAAGAATTTCTTATTGAACGATAGAGGATAATTATTAATTATCAACGATTGTTTTATGTACTTCAGTTTCCTGTTTAGGTCCTTGCACTGACTAGTCAGTTTTATAGCCATATCATCTAGACATTTGATTGAGCCTGACTTAACTGACATTGGATGAGATGTTACTTAAGGCAGGTTTAGACAGTTAGATTAGCGGAACATAGAAATTTAGCTGAATGTAGAATGTGATAGACCCCGATAAGATCAGTAATCTAGAAAAACGCTCGACTATTGCAATGCAGGCATTAGGTGCACACAGCCACACAATAGGTTGGGGGGGGGGATAGAACCACTGTACTTAATCTTTGTTCATTGAACCAACCAACACCCAACACGTGTCATAGAAACGATGCAACATCTATACCGGAGATATAGAAAATTTTACTACCAATAAAAACAAATCATATGAGGTAACAGGACTATATAGTTCAGATATCGAAAATAGTGTGATTACATTGACATGATTATGAGCAGTGATAATTGATGCTGGGAACTTGGTCATTAAGTAAGTAATACTGTATCACTGTGCACTATACATCAAATCAACAAATCTAATATGAAATTACATTCTATCATAGTGCCCAAGTTTTACACCTATATTGATTAACCTAGGAAGTTAGTTTTAAACAAACTTCACCACGAGGTTAGGTCAGTTGTTTTGGTAAATTCAGGTAAAACAAGATATTTAGTCAAGAAGAGTCTTTTCAACGAATTAATCCTCAAGTTGTATATTCGAATGAATATAAATGATATCTGAAGACTGTTATCCATGGGGAAAATTACATTTAAATAATAGCAGACTGAAATAACAGTGGTGATGATTAAAGTTATAATAGTGTTGTTAGTTGAACTTGATGTTTTGAGGAGTAAACTTTGATGACAAGAATAAGCAAGAAATATATGCTAAACTAGTCATCAACTCAGTTTCTTGAAAGACGTTGTTCATGAATCTGAAATTGAAAGGTAATGTAGCATCAGACATGATGAAAAATCATCTTTCTGGATAAATTGCCCAGATTTTTCTCAGTTAAGCTTCACTTGACCTTCGTTATTATTATTTATTATTTTTCCCTCGAGTTCCTCGTAGAACATACGGCTTCAGTAGCACATCAACATTTCAGTCTCTTCTACGTAGTCTTTCTAACCTGGTTCCAACAATCCCCACAACCTTTCATTCCTCCTTCACATGATCTCCTCCATCTCATCCACGGCTCAGAAACCCAACTCGTTTTTTTCACTCGACGACCTGGTCTGGTCTGACGCGTGATGTCCCGGAACCGTCTTCTTTCTCAGCGCATGTCAAATCCAATCCAGTCCAATCGATCTCCACTTCCTTCTGCAGATTTGTAGGGCTATGGCTTCTTTGTTGGTCGGTCCGTTGCCAGGCCACCACAGTTCCTCCTTACTTATTCTCATTATTCCAGTCTGGTCATCTGATCTCATCTGATCTGACCTTCAGTATCAGCACAGAGTGAGTGTAGGCAGCAGCTGTTGATGTGATGTATGTGTGCAGTTTGATGGAAATGCTTTTCGTGATGCGCCAACTCTCCGAACCATCACATAGAGGCACTGAGTTACTTGACTGACATTGGTGTTGAAAATCGAGATCTTCTTCACGCTTTATGCCGATCGGAGTGCAGTGGATTGGAGTGGAGTGCAGTAGATCTGCACACTGATTATTTCATATTATTGAAGAACTGCCTGTTTCGCTGTCTTTCCGATCGTGGCTGCTTTGAAATCCTCGTCTGTGTCTGTGCCGCCTGTAGTTGAAACGATTCTACCTAGGTAGATAGGTGAAAGGGACTACTTCCATCAGATTTCTCCCGTTGATGGTGATTGGTCCTTGTTCTTGATGCTGTTGTTCGTTGGCTATCTTCATCACCTCAATCTTCTCTACGTTCACTTAAAGTCCCGTCTTCGCTTTTCTTCTGTCAACTTGTTAGTTTTTGCCTGTAGATCTTCGAGTTTGTGCGACAAGACATTAGACATAAATCATCGTTGGCGAAACCCAAATCTTCTTCTGTGGTCTTTTGACCTGTCCAGTCAGTGTATACCCATCTTCTCGCTCCTCACAGTTTCTTGCATGGTCCGGTCCAGTCGACCACAATCAGGAAGATTATAGGTGATAGTAGGTGGCAGTCTTGTCTTACTCCTGTCCCCTGTCTTCACTTGAAAGGCGTTAATGAGCTTTCCATTGTGAATCACTTAGCATGATCATCTGAGAATGAAAATGATTGAAGGCGAAATGGAAATTTAGGCCATGGAAGAAGATGAGCAAGTGACCACCGATTTTGTGGCCTGGTACTCTACCAACTGAACTGTGAGACTCGACTACTGATCAGACTTTTATTTCATTTCAGATAAGTAATTTCATGAGACAAGTTTTCTTCTTGTACATGTTAGTAGTACACATAGTGAATACAAATGTTAATTTGTGCTTGATACAGCAAAAAAGGGTGAATCGGTCGCATGAAGCAACAAATCGATTAAAAATTTATTCATTTATAGTAACATATTTAGACAATTATTATCACGGAAAAGAATTAAAACTGAATTGATCTTGGTGAAAAAAAAGGTTCATATTAACGCTCTTGAGTGTAAAAGTCAAGTACGACAGGCAGAGTAATTATTCTTGATTGTGTTGTATTCTCTGATCTGGGTTATTTAGCCTTGTCACTTTCATCAACCTTTGCCTGACAGCATACTTCCAATTCAATGGTAAGATATACAAACAGACAAAAGGAACTCCAATGTCATCACCGATATCCAAGCTAAATGCAGAAACACTGATGCAGAGACTGCAAGCCATCATTCTATCTGTGATTCAACCAAGAATATGGATTCGCATTGTGGACGATACTTTTGTCATCATTCAAAAAGATGAGATCGAAAGCACTCACACTTTGATGAATAACTTTTTCAATGAAAACAAATTCACAATGAAAACGGAGTTAAATAATCAACTACCATTCTTGGATGTTTTAGTCAGTAGGACGAATGTCGGAATACTGGAAACCCAAATGTACAGGAAGTCAACACACACTGACCAAATCCTCAACTACAGTAACAACAACACACAAGATCAGTTGCGTGCAGACTCTCTAGTCAAAAGAGCGATAACACACCACAGTGCAACAACTTCACAGAGAAAAGAAGAAAACTACATGATGTCCACCTTTAAGAAGAACGGCTACCCTCGAAACATTATCATAAGATGCCTATCCCGCACATCATCAACCACAAACTCATCAACAGAAATCAATAAACACATCATCCTACATCAGTCAGTACATAAGGAATATATCAGAAATCACAACAAGATTACTGAGACCACTTGATGGAATTCGTGTGGCCACTCATAAACCAACAAATTCCCTCTAAACACAATTATGCACACCAAAGGATGCAACAATCAAAGAAGACAAACCGAATATCATTTATGAGATCGACTGTAATAACTGTAGTCAACACTATATTGGACAAAGTGACCACCCTCTTCACCATCATCCACATGAACACCGATTGGCTATTAAACGCCACGACATACTGCCACTCTTTCAATCCATGTGGATAGCAACTATGGACATGAATTGAATTTTGACAATGTGGAAATTTTGGATGGAAAGAAGAAACACAAAGAATATGATGAGAGAATTCGTAGACGTTTGGCATTCACATGAGGCAGTCAGTCAGTGAATCAACAATCAATAGAGAGATGGGAAGACATAGACGGGATCTATCAAGCAGTGACAAGAATGATAAACGTAGAAAGGTTAGTCAGAGGTGAAGAGAAGAACAGTCAACAATCAATCACATTACAATCGAAGGAAACAACCAATGACAGACCACATCGTCAGAGCAAGCCACTAAATCACTGATGGAGAGATACTGACAGGTCACTTCATAGTTAAGTTAGTGCTGATGATGTTGTCTGGAAGGACGATGGAAGCTTCACGATCAGACAACGTAGCTCAGAGAACACAATACAACCAAGACCATCGACCTGAGCTACAAATATTCTCGACCATTTCAAAATCATACAAGCGTGACACATTTCACATTGTTCGAAGATGGAAGAACTTCTCCAAAAGGCAAGCTACCACAAAAGAACAACTATTTTTTCTCCATATGTGCCTACGTCAGCATGTTCTGCTGAAGAGTAACAGATATAGACCACCGATTGATTGCCCAATGGGATGGAAAATAGCTGAACAACATGGAAGACAAATGGTACAATTGTTGATCACAGATGCATATCATCGGTTGTGGAAATACCAATCAGTGATTAACAATCAAAAGGCAATACTAGAAAGCATACTCATGACACAACACTTGGCCACGGTAATGGCAGCAGTTGAAAAGCCTTTAGAATAAAGCTACTCAAAATCTTGGAAGTACCCACCACCGAGGAAACAAACTACTGTGTTGCCAACTTATCGGAAAAACCACTAACAAAAACGGAAGAACTTCTCCTTCAAAAAGGATTGAATTACAACACAAGAGATGCCATGAAACGAGAATCCTTTGTGGCATTAGAATCGTTACTTAAAACATCAGGATTAAATGAGGTCACTCAACAAGAAATACGGCAAACAGGCAGAAGAGACATCACACTTAAATGAACACTGAAGAAGAGAAAACATTAATAAGCCTGAAAAATAGGAAAGATATCGTTATACCTCCGAAAGAGATAAAGGATGTATCACTGTAGTCATGGACAAAGAAGACTATATCAAGAAGGCAGAGAATTTTCTCGAAGACGAAAGTGTGTATCAACCACTTGAAACCAACCCTGTCCAAAATTTTGATAATGAATTCGGGGCTCATATTTCTTTCTATTTGAGAACCATTAGATCAATATAGTACCTGAATACCAGTGAGCGATCAATTGGAATATCCTGACGTTATTGACTAGTCTATCAAGTTCTGGTAGTCAATGATTGTGTAGTGAGCATTATCTGTTATTTAATGATGTTTTAAATTACTCATTCGTCATTATACCGAACTTAAATGATGCATATCTCTTGATATATGAGTTACTTGAACACATCCCTTGATATTGTATCAATCACAATTTTTTGGTATCATTGGAATCGAGGATACAGTTTTCGTCCTACTTAGAATTAACTACCTAATATACCTAAATACCAATAAGTTAGGCCAGAGAATGTATATATATACACTGGATTGATTTAGTAAGCAATTCATGTTGTAAAGTCTGCATACATCTCTTTCAATGCCTTTCTGGTTGTCCCTTTAATCATTTAGATGTAAGAATGCAGTAGCTGGAACTTTACACTTCACAACGTCCTTCAGTTCACAGCTGATTACATGTAACTTAAAGTATTCATTATCTATACAGCTTTCCTAACTGACAGTGAATTATTAATCACCTTTCTGGTAAATTGCAGTACTCTTCTTACCTTCCCCGACCGATAGCTGCTACCTTGACGTGGTCGTCGGGCTTGCATATCACAATGACCCAACGAGCTATGCTGGTGGAACACTTGTTCCCTCGAGGTCCTACCATACCAGAAAGGTCTGTTGGATAGTGGTTAGACGAAAGCAGTTACCATTATAGTGTAAATTGCTACACCATGATGGGGGTCTGAGGGCGAAGTCGTACTGCCACCAGCTGGATGGGGTGTGACAGCAGTAAGGTGTTTCCCTTGGATGACCAGCAGTGCTATGCTGATGCTGCCTTCTCAGTGGAAGGGGGGGAGTTAGAAAAGGTCGGCCCCAAAAATAACACACTCCACCACGCCCCATGGTCTGCCGGGCCGGCGTTGTTGGTTCACTTGTCGTTTCCTTTCGACCATCCGGCCCCAAAAATACAAAAGTTCAGAATAATCATACTCAAAAGGCTGGGTGTGACAGGCCTCAAGCAGATGTCCGATGGGCTCTGCAATCACACAAATCTCTTTCAGGTACCTTAAGAAGAAATAGCCTTCCATGGTGTGGACAGCCGGGAAGTGTCAACCGCCCTCAAAACTCTATCAGCACCCAAGTTTCTTCTGACTGCTATCCTCCTTATCCATCATTACCTTCTAATCTTCCTTCACGTCTCTTAATTAATGATGCTGCATCATCTTCAATTTCTCTTCTTACCTTCTCTTCTCCTTAAATTATTGTGTACAACGCTGAAATGGTTATCACTACCAGAATACTTACACACAGACTAGATTGAGCTGATGTATCCACTTATAAAGATGAGTTCGAGTTGGCGGTGTTTCAGAAATATATATTCTGCTAACACTAAACAATGACATATAGTTTTGTTGTCATAAAAAGTTGAATAACTCACATTTTCTGTGAAGATGGGTTTCTATTTGGATGTTGACTGCTTTCGTGTTCCAGTCACCTAATGGACAATGCTTTGATGTCTGAAGCGATAAGCACAGGACTCGAGCCATAGCACTAGTTAGTGTAACAATGTACACAAACTGTAGTGTTCATAAAGTACCAATGTGAGTTACGGTCTACTTGCTGGTTAGTCATGGAATTCTAGACATGTGTTGCGTCTTATTTTGAACTCATCAACTGGATATACTAGAACCCTAGTGAGTAATGTTGTTCCCAATTACACTCAAGCAATTCGACCCATTATGGCAGGAGGGAATTACAGATATTAATAAACAATATCATTGTGAATGTTCAATTTTATGAAGTATCAATTTCAAGGCTTTCAATAAACTTCATCGATTAGAATCCTGTATAGTATTAAGCAAATATCTGAATATGTTACTCTTTGTATAGTTTTTAAGTGTTCATATTTGTCTAATTTATTTTTATAGGATGCTTTGGATTACTGCAATAATATCCTTTGTATATGCTCCACTAACAATATTTCTCAGAAAACCTCCGAAACGAGACGACGCTAGTGATCAGGTAATGCATATTTATGTCTCACGTCTGTTTCATAATTAATAATGATAATAATAATAATATTATCCAGTTAGAAATTTATCATTCAACATAGAGTAAATGATGTTTGTGATCATTGATCTCTTCAATAGTGCATACCCATTACGCCTTCGGGTTCTGTGACCATCATGCTACTATTGAGTCACTGATTCGGGGTCTAATGGTCTACGTGTTCTTCTTCGATCACTTCATGATATAGCTATTTAGTTGACTAATCACTTCATCAAAACAATAGTAGACAAGGATCTACAATACTCAAGATTTATATATGATAATGGAATTAAAGTTTTTCTGAACCATGATAAAATATTTTCTGCTCAATCGTGAAAGGTTAATGAAAATAACCTTTCTACATTACATTATAAATGAGATACCTGTGCATAAAATTATTATCAACTTGTAATTATTTACATGAGTATTAAGCGTTAAATTTTAACCCCTAAACTTATTCTCTCCATTATCAGCTTAGTAAGCTCGAACTGTGTTATTTATTATTATTACTAGTCCCTTGGGTTCCTAGTGGAACATAGGGCTTCAGTAGCACGTCTCCAGTGACCTCTGTTCTGTTCTCTGAGATCTTTTGAACCTGGTTCCACGACAGCCCACAAGCTCTCATCTCCTCCTCGCACGATCTTCTCCATGTCACCCTCAACTGGGACGTCCAACTCATCGCTTCCCATGGGGATTCCACTCGAGGGCCTGACACGTGATGTCCTCAGTCGGCCTTCTCAGTGCATGGCCAATCCATCTCCACTTCCTCCTGCATATTTGTTGCGTGATAGGTTCTTGATTGGTTCGTTCCCAGAGTTCCTTGTTGCTTATTCTTTCTGGCAATCCATCTGATCTTCAGCAGCGAGCGTAAGCAGTTGTTGATGAATGTTTGTAGTTTATTGGAAATGCCTTTCGTGACGCGCCAAGTCTCTGAACCATACAGAAGCACTAAACTGTGTTATAAGTTAGGATTTATTTGAAATTCTTTCATTATCCTCTAACATGAAGGTTTTTCTTTCAGACTGAGGGATTTGAACAAGTTCTTCAAGTAGCAGAGTAATTTTACACTTTCTATATAAGGCAACAGTTAATAATTCCATTTGTTAAAGTATTTTCTATATAATTTAGGTAGGCAATAAGATAATGTATAAATGGTTTGCTTTCAATTACGATTAACCTCGCCTGGTTAACTAGTTTACTAGTTACTAGCCGGTCCTAAGCCCGGGTAAACAGGGAACGTTGGGCATAGGGCTAGCAACCCTACACCGTAAAACAAATCTAACCGCTAAAGAAACTTCAAAGCACAAACAAAATATAAAAAATGAAAACAAAATTATTCCCCGCTGGAATCGGAGAGGCGAAATGACGCCAGTTGGTGAAAGCCTTCGGCAAGCCAATTGGCCGATGTGTCTTCTCTCCCTAGATGAAAGCGAAAGTAAACGTGGGGACATGGAATGTCCGCACGATGTTTGAACCCAGTAAGGCAGCCCAGATTGCAAAGGAGATGAGAAGGTATAACATCGAAGTGCTTGGGATTTGCGAAAGCAGATGGAATGGGAGTGGACTCTCCAAACTGTCAACTGGAGAATCAATAATCTACTCCGGTCACCCAGACGCCAACCACGAGCACACTGAGAAAAGGAGTGGCTATCATGATGTCCTCAAGAGCATCGAAGGCTCTCATGCAGTGGGAACCAATCTCCTCCAGGATCATGACAGCAAGATTCAACTCAAAAGGAAGAAAGGTCACAATCATACAATGTTATGCACCTACAAATAATGCAGAGCAAGAGAAAAAGGAAGAATTCTACAGACAACTTCAGTCAACACTGGACAAGACGTCAGTTGGCGATATCAAAATTCTGATGGGCGACATGAATGCCAAACTGGGAGGGGACAACACGGGAAGAGAACTAACCATGGGTCGAGAGGCGCTAGGTGAAATGAATGAGAATGGAGAATTGTTTGCAGAATTCTGCGCATTCAACGATTTGGTGATTGGAGGCAGTGTGTTCAGGCACAAAGATATCCACAAAGCGACATGGATTTCACCAGATGGACACACTAAAAATCAAATCGACTTTATCTCAATCTCAAGAAAATGGAGACGCAGTCTACTTAACACAAGGTCAAGAAGAGGAGCAGATGTAGGTTCAGACCACTATCTAGTGCAAGGAACCTTCCTTCTAAATCAAGTTAAAAGCCTTCAAGGAAGCTGGTGATAGACCTCAATTCAAGTACAACACTCGGAAACTGAAGGATGAAACTACAAAGGAGATCTTCACGGCAGCCATCAAGACAAAATGGGAGACGTCGAGGGACATCCCTGAAGAAACCTGTGTAGAAGAACACTGGAAGTCTTTGAAAGCTATGTGGAAAGAAACCTGCACAACAGTATTAGGAAGGAAGAAGAAAGAAGACAAGGAATGGATCTCGACGGATACCTGGAAGCTGATAGAGGAGAGGAGGATGGTGAAGCAGAAGATAAACCAGTGCAAGGATGCTCAACGACAAAAGGAACTGAGCACAATGTATAAAACACTGGACAAAGAAGTGAAGAAGAGTGCACGCAAAGACAAAAGACACTTCTACGAAACACTGGCAAGTGAAGCAGAACAGGCTGCAGGTAAGAGAGACCTGACGACATTGTATCAAATAACCAGGTTGCTATCAGGGAAGAGACCAATACAGATGAAACCAATAAAAGATGAAGAAGGAAATTTAATTACAAAAGAAGAGAAACAGAGGAAACGATGGGCCGACCACTTCAAGAAGCTCTTGAATCGACCACCACCTGCACTTCGTCCAGAAATACCACCTACAGCGCAGCCGCTGAACTACAAGTGAACATTAATCCCCCAACGAAAATGGAAGTCCTGAACGCCATAAAGCTACTGAAATGTGGGAAAGCAGCAGGACCAGACGGGATACCGCCAGAAGCACTGAGAACAGATGCAGAGACAACAGCGGACATGCTCACACCACTATTGCAGAAGGTGTGGAAGGAAGAGAAGGTACCTGGCTAGTGATTGGAAGAAGGGTTACCTTGTCAAACTGCCGAAGAAGGGAGACCTCAGTGCTTGCAAGAACTGGCGTGGAATCACTCTCCTGTCCACCTCAAGTAAAATATTAAGCCGCATCATCCTGGAGAGGCTTAAAGACGCACTGGATTCAAAACTGCGACCGGAACAGGCAGGCTTCAGGAAGTACAAATCATGTGCAGACCAAATTGCAACGCTTCGTATCATCATAAAACAAAGCATAGAATGGCAATCAGCTCTCTACCTCAACTTCATCGACTTTGAGAAGGCCTTTGACAGCGTCGACCGAGAAGTAATTTGGAAACTGCTTCAATACTACGGAGTACCGCAAACCTTTATCCGCCTCATTCAACAACTATATGAAGATGCCACATGCCAAGTAATTCACAATGGGAAGCTCAGTGATGCCTTTGAAGTGAAGACAGGAGTGAAACAAGGTTGCCTACTATCACCCATGATATTCCTTATTGTGGTGGACTGGATCATGCAGCAAACAGTAGGCAGCGAGAAGAGGGGGATACACTGGACGACGGAAAAGAACCTAGAAGACTTGGATTTCGCCGATGACTTATGCCTAATGTCACACAAACTTGAAGATCTGCAGGCAAAAACTAACAAGTTGATAGAAGAGGCAGCGAAGACGGGACTTCAGGTGAATATAGAGAAGACAGAAGTGATGAAGATACCGCACCACCACCATCAACAACAACAACAACAAACTGCAATCACCGTCAACGGGAGAAACTTGAAGGAAGTAACCTCCTTCACTTATCTAGGCAGCACTGTTTCAACTACAGGCGGGACGGACGAGGACGTCAAAGTCAGAATCGGAAAAGCAAGACAGGCGTTGATTAGCCTGAAACCAGTGTGGAGATCTTCTGCACTCAGCATGCGGAACAAGATACGGATTTTCAACACCAACGTCAAGTCAGTGCTCTTGTATGGTTCAGAGACTTGGCGCGTCACGAAAGGCATTTCCAATAAACTACAAACATTCATCAACAACTGCTTACGCTCGCTGCTGAAGATCAGATGGATTGCCAGAAAGAATAAGCAACAAGGAACTCTGGGAACGAACCAATCAAGAACCTATCACGCAACAAATATGCAGGAGGAAGTGGAGATGGATTGGCCATGCACTGAGAAGGCCGACTGAGGACATCACGTGTCAGGCCCTCGAGTGGAATCCCCATGGGAAGCGATGAGTTGGACGTCCCAGGAGGGTGACATGGAGAAGATCGTGCGAGGAGGAGATGAGAGCTTGTGGGCTGTCGTGGAACCAGGTTCAAAAGATCTCAGAGAACAGAACAGAGGTCACTGGAGACGTGCTACTGAAGCCCTATGTTCCACTAGGAACCCAAGGGACTAATAATAATAATAATATAATTTCAATTACGATTGATTTATCTATCTAAGGTGATCTTGGTTTAGTGAACTGATTCTAAGCTAATGACGACATGAGTACAATTGAAACGAAAAGTTGACTTTGACATAGTTACAAAGAAGTTGTTGCTCAGGATGAGGATGATAAATGTCTTAAGGTTCTCTGAGTTTTCAGGTTTGTTCTTGAACGTCTCATCAACATTTACTTTGCATAGAAGTAGGAATCCATAGGCTGATTGGCTGTAAAGCGTCTCTATCTCACTTAGAAGGCAATTATTGTTTATTTTCTTTTATTTGAGGTGACTAATAAGAATGTTGCAGGTGGCGATTGAAGAACTAGTGTCAAGAAAAGACAATTCAATTGTCTGATCTTACCATTCTTCTAGTAAAGACGAGAGCTGGCTGGTAGTACATTAAACTTGGTCATACATATTATCTCGAATAAAAGTGGTATTCTCATCCATCTACGACGGCTCTCACATAGACGGGATTTGTGCTTTGATTTGAAAGTAAGCAAGTAAGTAGGTAAATAAGTAAGTAAGTAAGTAGGTAGATAAGTAAGTAAGTAAGTAAGTAGGTAGGTAAGTAAGTAAGTAATTAAGTAAGTAAGTGATTATGTAAGCAAGTAATTAAGTAAGTGATTAAGTAAGTAAGTAATCAAGTAAGTAAGTAATTAAGTAAGCAAGTAATTAAGTAAGTGGTTAAGTAAGTTAGTAATTAAGTAAGTAAGTAATTATGTGAGCAAGTAATTAAGTAAGTGATTAAGTAAGTAAGTAATTAAGTAAGTGATTAAGTAAGTAAGTAAGTAAGTAATTAAATAAGTAAGTAAGCAAGTAAGTAAGTAAGTAGGTAAGTAAGCAAGTTTGTAGATGGTTATGATTTGAGTCAGTCATCAAGACACGCTACTCACGAAACATGACACCCGTCTTCTGCGCTTTTGTGGGAAAGAGAAATGAAAAAGGCATTACTTGGATATTAAAGGCAATATGATACCAGAACAATCGAATTTTCTAGGCTTGATTTTGTAAGACGACATTACTTCTTATAACTTCCGGAAATGAATGGTCCGTCGGTTTCCAGAAATGTGCATATATTGTTTTTCATTGTTTCCTCCACCTCAAAATAGCCGCAATAATTAACAATTTCTTTTAAATTCCCCCTACTATTGATTTCAGTAGAATTGTGCTAAATATCAATAATCAATATCGCACAATTCACTTCTTTAGATGATTAAGTACAGAGTAATTGTGTGATATTGATTACTGTTACTCTAAGCGCAACATTTGTTGATAGTTGAACCTAGCAGTTCTGTTGGACAACATTCTCCGTCCTTTCAATTAGACTGAAATGAGAAATTAGCCTGATCTAAATATTAAACTACTGAAACATGTATTTCAGTAGTCAGTCTACTTTACTAATTAAAAAGTTACGAAAATCTTACTTTTTGAAGTTAATTAAATTCATGTAAACTTTTAAAAAGTAGTTATATCTTCTGAAATGAATTAGTTTACTCATGATAACTTAATACTTTAACATAGGTGGTGGTGAGTGAATCTACAAACATGTAGTCAAACGGACAACCACATATGTAAATTCCCAATAAAAATGAGGTAGGTGATTGTCATAATGATAAAATGTGTTCATGTTCCCCATTTTTAACCTATCAATCATAAACTACTAAACAAAATTCATAAGTAGTTTCAATTGGGAGGTTTGTGAAGATTTTATTGATGACAAGTTGGTAGTCATCTGTAGACTAAAATCATTTGGAGAATCATTCAACTGACAGAAGTAGACAAATGTAAGCCATCAAATTCTGACCCAGTGATGAAGTGACAACACATACTAGCCACGGAACCTGAAAATCCTTGGTCAGACCCTTGAGGGGGCGGTCATGTGTGCTCACTTCGTTGGAGTCTCATATTATTAGCAAAACAACAGTCTAGTATTCTCACATTCTTTAAATGATCCCATTCCAAGCCAAGCACAGTTTTCTTGGTTTGGGCGAGAATTTGTACTTGATACTTAGTATTTTTAATGATCAAATTTTTCCCGTAAATACTTTTTGTTATCGTTTTTACAACGGTGACATTTAGGCAGTAGCGAAAGTGTGAAGTATACCAGAGAAAGCCTCGTAATCTTATTTATTTGTTGATAGCTATCACAGGAATCTAAGATACACATTTCGTCATGTCGAAAACTTGTTCATCGGGATAACTTTTATCTATTTATATCCAGTTGACGCATCTCTAATAAGCAGGGGGAAATGATAAGCATCAGTAACGACTAATAGGTTTGTCGCACAAACTGGAAGATCTACAGGTGAAAACTAACAAGTTGACAGAAGAGGCAGGGAAGGGCAGCGAAGAAGGGACTTCAAGTGAACATAGAGAAGACAGAAGTGATGAAGATACCGCACCAAAAACTCCAACAACAACAACAACAGAAAGCTCCAATCACCATCAACGGGAGAAACTTAAAGGAAGTAACCTCCTTCACCTATCTAGGCAGCACTGTTTCAACTACAGGTGACACAGGGACAGACGAGGATGTCAAAGTCAGAATCGGAAAGACAGCAAGACAGGCGTTGATTAACCTGAAACCAGTGTGGAGATCTTCTGCACTCCACTCAACATGTGGAACAAGATCCGGATTTTCAACACCAACATCAGTCAAGTCAGTGCTTCTGTATGATGGTTGAGAAACTTGGCGCGTTACGAGAGGGATTTCCAATAAACTACAGACATTCATCAACAACTGCTCATGCTGGCTCGATACTGAAGATCAGATGGCCAGAATACTCAGAATAAGCAACAAGGAGCTCTGGGAACGAACCAATCAAGAACCTATCACCGAACAAATATGCAGGAGGAAGTGGAGATGGATTGGGCATACACTTAAAAGGTTGACTGTAGACATCATGTCAGGCCAGGTACTCGAGTGGAACCCCGATAGGAAGCGATGAGTTGGGCGTCCCAGCTGAGGGGGACATGGAGGAGATGGTGCGAGGAGGAAATGAGAGCTTGTGGACTGTCGTGGAGCCAGGTTGAAAAGATTTCAGAGAACACAGCGCATTGAAGACATGCTACTGAATCCCTATTTTCCACTAGGGGCCCAAGGGACAAATAATAGTAATAATAAGGAAACTATTATGTAAACTAAATGACCTTTACCACTTTCTCTGCTGGTCATCAAAATAGAAGGTCATCTGAGTACTGATGAGTAGATTGTGTGTATGGTGAACGATGGTTTTAACACATTTCAGTCTGACTATCTGAGATGATCATAGTTTGATCGATTTGCACTATTGATACTGAGTGATGGTTGAATGTGAAATGAAAATCTACGCCACGGAAAGATTTGAATCGTCCACCACTTAACACATAAGCTAACTAAGCTAAGTCCCGTTTAACTTAGATTTTCTTATCTTTCGGCGTTTGTCAGAAAGGCGTACTTTCATTGTCGAAGAAGTTGATGTATCGCCTGAGATTCAAACCTACATCATCCAATGATGCAGTCAGATATGTTATCACTGAGCTATTCAGGCCATATGGATCTCCTATGAACCAAGTAATACTTACTCATGTAATAAAGGCATGAAAGTCGAATCTCTATACGATCACTATGTCTACTCACAGCGATTGAGTAGAAAAGTTTAAGAACTTATCTAAAGCGTTAGATATTCATTCAGACTGCTTTAACTTTGGTTTTACACAGTTTGTGTACACATTTCACTATTTTGTCTATAGAAATATGAATGCTCTATTGTTCTCATTTCAGGCTCTACATTTCATCATTTACTATGACTCCTCAATTCTCTCTTTTTTCAGTGTTGTATACAAAGGTGAAAAAGGAAACAATTTCAATTGTGCTAATATTCTCCTTCATTATATGTTTCAATATATCATGAAATATAAATATGTATTCTTAATTACAAGTGGAATTTATTCTGTAACAATTTCGCGTGATTGTGATTGGTTGATTCGTCTGATTCTGTCAATTTTAATCTTAACGCAGACCTTGCACGTGATTGGTCCCTAATGTACTTGCTCAGTATCGTATAGTATTTTAGTTGAATAATTAGATATATGACACAGGGGAACAGTATTGTTTACTGATTAACGTTTCCTACATAAGTTATTGTCCATATTCAAATCAAGATAACTACACAACTTTAAGATATCCTTTATAAGGTGACTTTCAAGGTCACCCTAGTAACAATTGAAAAGACTGTTTAAACTTCTTTATTTTTAAGAAGTCTACCTTTCTAACCGAGATAAAGAAGTTGAATTGGTTACTAAGGGGGTCTTTAAAGTCCTAATTTCCTCGCCTTCTTTGTGATATAGGCAGTAGGATTTCCCATACATTCAGAACAGGTGTTGAATCATTCATTTTGCATGTAATAGGTGGTGATTCGATAAACAAAGAATAGGTTATCAATCTCCTCGTCTACCCCACCAGGTTAGTTTTGAGGACTTCCGCCCTGTCCATCCCATTACGTGATTGTGTGTAATTGCATGCATAACTGTGACCGAGTTTGTTTTCTTAATTCCTTATTGATTATCATTATGAGTATCTGAGATAACCGTGGGTTGAAAGACTAGTAATTATACTCGGTGATGATTGAAGGTAAAAATGAAAATTTGAACGGTGACAGGGTTTCAACCATCGAATTGCCGGTCCGATGCTCTATCGACTGACTTCTCACCAGATTTTTATTTCACTTTAATCACCCTAGGGTTTTACCCAACTGTCATGTGAATTCGTAATGCGTTACTAACGTTTGATTGTATTCACACTGCCTGCCTAGTTAGGACTTCTCATCCAGATCCAAATCTAACTGAATTAGAGAGGGCGAGCATCATATCAATTATCATTTTTGACTAGCTGAGGTAGCCGTGATTTGGTAGACTAATGTTTACACTAGGCAACCAGTGTCAATACGATTACAAAACTTAGCTTAGCAGTGAGCATATTAAAGCATAAATACTGTTATATGCCTCAATGGTTTTGCCAAATAGGACATCAGATGTTGTCTTTAGTTAAAATGAATGTGACTTTTTAACTCCAGGTTGTTCGAAGCTATCAATAAAAGTTTGTTAAACCATATCTATCTTAGATAGTCGAGCTGATAATCAATATAATGCTCCCCATCTCCAATTCAGCTCGATTCGGATTCGGATGAGAAGTTCTGACTGGGTAGCCAATGTGAATGTGATGAGCAAACAGTTAAGCATCACGAATTAATATGAAAGTCAGATAAAACTCTTGTCGATCAGAGTATAATTAAGATTTTGTCAGCTGTCAGGTCTTTTATTTCAAGTCCTAGAGCAACAGGCCAATAACTCAGAGGTTTCAGAAGTACTATTCATCATGGACTGACATCAGTTGGGGCACCACTGAAAATTTGGGAGCACTGGACACCTGTTCCTTCCTACTATGGGACTCCTCAGCAGTACGCACCCACGAACTGGCTACGGATCGAACTCGGGACCTTCAGGTTTCACGGCGAACGCGTCAACTATTCAACCACTGGGTTGGTTTTCAGTGGTTCACAATTTCCAACTTCTGTCAATTCACAACATAGCGCGACTGTCACCCAAGGTCTTCAGTTAGCATCCACTTCACATCCGACTGGTTGACCCCACAAGTCACGGCTCCTAATTAGAACTTCCTGATATCCATCTGGAAGCAAGTCATTAATGAGCACTATAGAGTAATACATTTTTGAGATGAATTAGGATTTTTAATGACGTGAATTGACAGGAGTTGGAAATTGTGAACCAATGAAAATCGACCCAGTGGCTGAATGATTAACGCGATCGCCGTGAGACCTGAAGGTCCTGAGTTCGATCCGTAGCCAGATCGTGGGTGCGTACTGCTGAGCAGTTCCATACTAGGACGGAACAGGTGTCCAGTGCTCCTAGATTTTCGATGGTTCCCCAATTGATGTCACTCCATGATGAATTCTACTTCTAAATTAAAAATCCCCATTCATTTCAAAAAAAACTCAGAGGTTGTTCGTTCAAATTCTGTTGCCACGCAACCTTTAATCATCACTCAGTATTAAACAAGACTTCATTAAAGGCACTAACAATTCCCCTACTTATTTAATGTTTCTTCCAAGAGAGACAGATCGTTTCAGTTCTACTACAGTTTCTAGGTTCTACGCCTACTCCATCACACCGGTTTATAACTTTCATTTAGTCTGCTAAAATTAGACAAATTCAATGTCTTTTTTATTTTCCCTTATGATAGTTTTTGCACTGAATAAATTATAAACTTCAGCTCTATCTCATTCTTTATGTTCGCCTTATGGGTTAATGTAAACTGGACAACCAGTTGTAAATGCATATGTTGTTCTATGTATTGCATCAGTTTCAAGAAACTAGAGAGATGGTACCATGAATAAAAATAATCTTAGTATACCATTGTGATACGACTGTTACTTGTTTAAATGTATAATTTGAAAAACAATCAGAGTAACCTTCAACATATCAACCAATCAGATTTAAGATAGAGATAAGAATTGATTTTAGACGGTGGCATGTTATCGTGTTCATCAAAAATGCTTAAATTCTTTAGAGAAGCATAAAATACTTGAAATCCTTAACAAAGGATCAACAGAGAGGTAGTTGAATGGATTGACGTGGAACTTAGCATAGAAGTACATTGGTTCAACTTACCACACTTAACATCAACATTCAGAAAGGAAGTAGATAGAAAGATTCATATTAATGTAAAGAGAAGTGAATGAGAAAATAAATGACTGAAGGTTAGTGAATATGTTCAAGACTTTGATGAGGAAGAACACTGTATACTTCTGCTCCTTTGAGACCAATTTTGAAACATGTCAAGTGCAATTCCCAACCATCGATTCCTATAGCTTCGAAAACCCAAACAACATGGCTCATATCAACAGTTAGCGACTTTATTGACTAGTATTATATGTTGAACACTATCCTAAGATGGATAATAACAAAACAAGTCATGGTTTGGCAGTGGTTCGGCATAGCAGCACATGTGGAAGCCATCCTAGTCGTTTAAATGAGCAGCTGACTGAAGAGATGATTTCAAAGGTCGAAAATGAAGGCCATGAAAGATGTTGAATAAATCCTTTTGCAATGGGAATCGCTATAGTCTTAGTAATACAAAGTAGACGAACACACACAGACTTTATTAGTGTTGACGAGATGTTGAATCGGTTTGCTCTTTATGGAACCACTATCATATATTAGTGACCAGGTCGGGCAGTGTTCTTGAGTTCTATTGGACACAGCTTGGATTGTATAAACAATCGATATCGCTAACCTACACAGTAATAGGTATAAGAGTAATAATAAGGCTTATCAGGAAGTAACCAAATATCCAGGCCCTAAATGTGAGGTAACCTATGTTGCAGAAAAAACTGCTAGTTACCAGTAAGCAAGAAATAAACCAGAGAGACTTTGCATTCACTTCAGCTTCATACATCTTTATAAGAGGTTTGTTTGTCAGATGTAGAACTTACAATGTGTATTTGTTTTAAATACGGAAACTTATAAATCAGCGAGCAGACAGTTATACATATAACTGAATAATCGCTTTATTCCTACGAATAACTGTTTATTTACTAAAAGTATGTAGCTTGTCACTGCTTAGATGAATATTTCTGTTAAGTACTAGGATAAAGTGGTTAAGTAGACGAAGGAAATTACTACAGAAACCTTACTGTTCAACTCATTCTGGTAATGACACTGTTTGCACTACGAAGGAATATAAATCGAAAGTTTTCGAGATACGGCAAATCAAGGAATACTCACCAAGAAAAATACGCCAAAAGAAACACCATGAACAGAAATTCTTTTACGGAATGGTACTAATAAAAGTTAGTAAACAATAACTAATAACTGGTAAGTGAAATCTAGTTTGAAGGTCTTACTGTTGCGTCATCTGTTAGACAGTTGTAGTTCATATGGGTGTAGCTTCAGTAAGGAGGCTGACACTCAGACGAATTCAGGCACATGCGGCTGATGAGTCTCAAAAGGGGCGGAATGCCCGCATTTTTGATTTTAATATTGCTCACCTCCAGTTGACAATCTTCATTGTTCTCTTTGTCTTACATTATCAATGCTTGATCAGTGGCCAGTGGAGTTGTTGGTGTCAATCAAAAGACAATATTATAAGATTATCATTTTGGCTATCTGAGATAGTTATTATTTGGCCGATCTAGTATTTATATTGGGAGATGAGTGAGGGTGGAGTGGAGATCTGGACCGCAACTGGATTCGAATCAGCTACTACCGGGTTTCCGGCTCGATGTTCGACTAAATGGGCCACGAGGAAAGACAAAAGACACTTCTACGACACACTGGCAAGTGAAGCAGAACAGGCTGCAGGTAGGAGAAACCTGACAACACTATGTCAAATAATCAGCCTACTATCTGGGAGGGAAGAGATCAACACACATGAAACCAATGAAAGATAGTGAAGGAAAGCTAGTTACCAAAAAGCAAAACAAAGGAAGTGATGAGCTGACCACTTCAAAAAACTCTTGAATACCACCACCACCATAACCACCACTACCTGCAACTCATCCACAAATACCACTAGCAACCCAGCCACAAAACTATAAGTGAGCACAGGCCCTCCGACTAAATCGGGAGTGAAGTCCCGAAAGCCATAAACCACTGAAATCTGGGAAAACAGTAAGACCAAATGGAATTCCTCCAGAAGCACTGAGAACAGATGCAGAGACATCAGCAACAGACATGCTCACAACACCATTGCACAAGGTTTGCAAGGAAGGAAGGAAGGAAGGAAGGAAGAGTGCCTACCGATTAATTAAAAGAATAACTACCTTATCAAACTCCTAAGGAAGAGTGATCTAAGTGATTGCAAGAAGTGGTGTGGAATAATCCTCCACTCTGTCCAACCTAAGCAAAATATTAGACCACATCATTTTGGAGAGACTAACAAATACTC